CCCCAATGTGTGCCTTGCTTCCATGTACCTATATGTGCAAAGGAAACAAGGTAAATCAAAGGAAATGAGCTGGAATGAATCAAATACCTTGATGTCGTGCATGTTTATGACCTTATGAGCTATGAATGCATGTCATGAGCTAAGAACTATATGATAAAACATATGTAAGCTAATGCAACCATAACATGGGATAAAATAACATGACATGAGCTAATGAATGAATGAATACATGCTGCCATGATATGTAAATGATATGCAAACATAATAAATGAATCTAAAACATATGTAAAACATAATATAAAGCTAAGTAAAGATATGGAAACATATGTTATGCATGAAAATCATATAGTATGCAAGTGAATGATAACATATGATTATTCAAGCATAGTTTAAGGAGCAAAAGCATACCTATAACATTAAGTGATGCATATAGAAGATAATAAAGGATAAAGTAAGGAAGAACTCCCTTAGAATCATCTTTGAAGAACATCCATGGTGTGATCAAGTCATGGAGAAAGTTGGAGCTAGTTTGGATCATATCAACAAAGCTCTTACTTTGCAGAGAGTTTTTAGAGCAACCAATCTCTCAGCATGGAAAAATACCCTTTGACTTCAGGTGGTAATTAGAAATGGGTTGATTTGATGTGTCGTAGATAGAATGGCCTTTGATCGGCCCCTTTCTAAATTGTATGGACAGATCATCAAATCTAATTCATTTATTATTGACATGACAACACATAGCGTTTTTACCCAAAAATCACTCAAATATTATAATATTATATGTCATACATTATTTTTTTCAAAATTTTCTGATTTAACACCTTTTCTGATAAGGCGCGTCGTGAAACACGTCTTTGCTTAGGTCAATCAAAGGTGTGTTCCCTAAAACGTGCATTCCAGGGGAAATATTGACATGGCACTACATGGGAAGGCACGTTTCAAGGTGCACGCCTTCCAGGGTCCACGTCAAATTCCCCAAAAAGTATTTTAAAAAATATGCTTTAAAAAATTGAAAAAATAAACAATAGGAACAAACATCCTAATTTAATACATATCAATTTCATGAGTTAAGAGCTTAATGTGGTTAGTTTATATAGCCATATTATAGTGTTTAGGTTATGTTTCTTACAATGTGGGATAAAAGTTAAAAAGTATATTTCTTAACTTTTTTTATCTCTATATCTAATGAATCTACTTATACACTATTATTAAATTACATCATGTTAATCTTTTTTACACCTAAACAAAGGCACGTTTCACGTAACACATTTTATCAGAAAGGGTGCTAGATCGATGAAATTTGGAGAAACGATGTATGATAGGTAATATTATAATATTTAAGTGATTTTTGGGTAGAAACACCACAACCCACAATCAAAGAATTTCAGTGAAAAATGAATTTTTTATATTTGCATCGTCGTATCAAGAACACCTCCAGCCATGACACATCTTCTATTAAGAAATGATTTTTTTTTCTTTTCCTCTAGCTTTATAAAAGTAGTCGCACAGTGAAGTCACAATGTCTCGTTCAATTTTCAAAGGTGAACAACGAGTTAGCGAAAGAAGGGAAGCTCTACATAAGGAGAGGAAGCTTAGAGTAGGGGAAGATGCTTAATTACCAGCAGCAAGAAACAAATTTCACAACCGTAGGGAGTCCTTTACCAAGTAAGACTGCATGATCTTTTTTACTATATTTTATATGGTGATATAAACATGGTTCGACTACTAAATTAGATTACGAGACAGTGTATTAAATACATAATTTTATGTTATATATTGTTGATAAAATATAGATTATAATGGACGTGAACGATTCAACCTTTTAAATATATTCAAAAAGTCACAATCGGTGTTTTAAATAAGTTAAGAAAGAAGATAAATATTAAATTGATTGAAAGAGTGAGAATTTAAGTTACTTGTGGGTCAGTAATGTAAGTATAATCATTATATAATAAATTTAATTGATGATAGAATTGACAACCATAATTTTAGATAATTATATAAGGGATAATAAATTCCAAAGACTTCAATATGTGAATGATAGTTAAGGGAGATACAAATAATGGAAAAATGGAAGAAACATAACAGACATATTGTCACATCCAAAAGTTAGGATTAAATTGGAGTACTTGTAGAATTTATGCGCTTTTTAATGAGCACTCAAGAATGTAGGGACTAATGACATAATTAACCCATAAGTTTAGGTTAAAACTAAATCCTTCCATTTTTTTTCTGATTGTGCAAACCTTCCCAACCTTTTCTCTCAACTACTCTTATGTCATTCTTGTATGGTATCAATTTGTCGTCGTTTCCTTTGACCATGAAGTACACCAACATTGTTATTGTCTTTGTCTCGTCTCTGTCGTTCATCCAATACCCTTAGTTTCGCCGTTAGCAAAACGGGAAGAGGAAACATTCGGTTTTTACAAAAAAACCCATTTCTATCATTCTTTTCTAGAAAATAATATTTGTAAATGACTCCTCATGCCTTAAAACATAATTCTGGAAAATTTCATTCAATCCCGACCATCAAAGGGGTCTTCAAGTACCACATGTGTTGTCGCCGCACGTGTGACAGTTCTAGCAGTTCAAAATTGTTGAATTGATTGACTGAAATGGCTGGTTGAACTAGCTGGCAGAATCAATTAACTGAATCGACTGACTGAACTGGCTGACTAAACCGATTAACCGAACCACTGGCTGAACTAGTTTGACCACTGACCATTGACCGTAGATTTTGATTGTTGACCATTGTCTTTATGTTTTTCGACGTCCTGAGCTCGTTTTCATAGTCTATTTTGTCAAATTCTAACTCGAAAGTCTCATTTTGCGTCATTTAATGCTTTAAGTTACAATTGTATCAATAAATTTGATTCTAAAGGTGAACACATGTCTTCGTATTGCTCTTCGATAGATCCCGACCACTCTCACTCAACTCAATTTGATTCTGCATGTGCAACATGAGATATGCGTAAGTGTTGTTTAGTGAATTAATAGTTTATTTCTATTAGATATATTGTTTTAGTACTCACATTGTACTATGTTGTTATTAGGTTCTTATTTCGCAAGACCTAGTTTTATCAACCGTGAGAAGCGTAACTCTTAACTGGTGTTATTTAGCTGATATAAGTATGTCCCTTTACCTTTATTAAATGATTTTTTTCCATGTTATTTTTAGTTGACACATTGTTATTGGATCGCCTAAATGTGTATTGACTATTAATTATGCTATTATATTATATGATTTTATTTGTAGGATGTTCGTATTCTCGTTATGTTTATCAATGACATGTTCAATTTCTTATTATAGTTGTATTATTTTTAATTTATATATTGATGTATTTATGTCATTTGCTTGGGATCATCTAAGGAATGCAATATCCCCCATTTTGTTTATGTTTGGGATCCTTTACGGATGGCAACATCCTTATCTTGTTTTTGTTTGGGATCTTTTACGAAGCGCTATATCCCTATCCTGACTTTTGTATTCTGTTTTAGGTACTTCTTCGAAGGGTAACATACTTATATTTATTAGCAACGAAGGTGAGGTTGTGTGAATTTTCTGTTATAATATTTCGATAATGGATAATTGATTTATTACAACCTAAGTTTTTATTTGTATTTTATGTCATGTCAATATTATTCATGATTTGTTATCAATACTTGTTGCACTTAGAGGAGACATTTTAGTTTTCATATCTTTTTAGTTTCTATCTTTTTATATCCCTCCGACCTTTAGGGTTTTGATTGGCACTTAGAAGATCAACTAGTAGCATGTTTTCTTTGATATTGTATTGACATTTTTAGACTATACTTTTATTTTTTTCATTCTCTCTATATATCTATATTGGGTTTATGGGTATTATACTTTATCGATTTTGGACTTTAATCTCGGTTTGTGTTACTTTTGAAAAACATTTAGTTTTCATGCTATACTCTGAAACAATTTTAGGATGTGACATCCATCAATAAACTCAAAATTTTTTATTATCTCTGTTAATTCAAATTATTATGATCTCTGAGATTTGATCATAGTGTCTAGACAAAATCTAAGGGTTACATTTAATGGTATTAGAGCACAAATTTAACTCTCAAACTTTGTTACCTGTAAAATTTATACCATTTTTAAAAATAAATTTTGTATGCATCAAAAATATTTTTGGTCTAGAAAATATTTTCTAAAATATATTTTGAGTATGGATTTTGGTAATGATTTATATGAGATTTATATATGAGTTATTTTTTATTCGAGACTCCAGTACTAGATCTCAAACTCAGTAGATACTATGTCACCCCATATATATTTTGGTTCGAGCTGTGATTATGTTTTGTGATATGAAACTTGTATGTTTGATTGCACTTTAAAGATACACTAAGCTTAATAGCTTAAACCCCTTTAGTTCTCTTTCAGATGATCAGATTTAGGCAATCCGTTACTTGGAGGGTTACATAATTTATTTTTCAGAGAAATTGTTATTTTCAGCTTGAACTTTATTCGGGGTTTTCTTTAGTCGGATATTTATTTACGTTCGGAGTTATTATTAGTTATATGATACGTGACACTGTGCATTATTATTTTGGCATTATTTTACGATTGCATTTAATGATTTATTTTATTACTTCTATTATTTTAGACACTTCTTTGAAATCAATAAATGTAAGAGGTATTTTCAATTAGTTTTTATTTAATTGTGATTTTCTTTAGTACACAAGTTTAAGTAGGTCCTCATCCATTGCTTTTAGGTTGATTAAAGAGGGCTACATTTGTGTTACCGGAGTTTTTAATTTACATTTTATGTCATATAATATTTTTTATGATTTGTTATCAATATTGTTGCACTTAAAGAACACAGTTTCAGCTCCAGCATTTGAATCTCTCTAACAATCAACCCCATGGCCCTTTTCCTGCTTTGCTAATTAGCAACTTAACGAATATCAAGTCACTTTTTCTATCATGTAATGAGTTCAAAAATAAGGTTTCCCTCTGCATATTTGCAAACATGTCGAAGCTGAGTGAATTCGATATTTCCTTCAATTCCTTCAACCATTTGGAAGTTCGAACAGAGAGTCAGCCATTTGCTCACCATCTTTCAGCTTAAATGCTCTGTTTTTACATGGTTGTAACCTCAAGAAAATCTCTCCTTGGCTGCTCCACAATATCACTTCAGAATTATGGCTAGGAGGCAATAACTTGACTGGTCTTTTCCCCTGGAAATTTCAAAACGTTGGCTCAAAGCTTACTGTTCTTGATATTTCTGACAATTTCTTGCATGGGACGTTACCCGGAGATATCGACTTGAATCTTCCACATCCGTGCCATTTAGATCTTTCCAATAATACCTTCAATGGAAGCCTCCCTCCATTCTTTGGGGACCAACTTCAGATGCTGGACTTATCAGACAATCAGTTCCAAGGAGAAATTCCCCATAGCATGATAAGTAATATGAGTTCTCTGCTATATCTGAGGTTATCCGGGAACTATTTTACTGGAGATTTGTTTCTCAAAAACTCAAATTTACCTGAACTAAGATGGCTTTATCTCCACAAAAACCAGTTTTCAGGAACATTCCCATGTGTCCTGTCGAAGAGCATGGAGTCGGAATTTGTTTGACATTCAGAATAACGAGTTTTCAGGTGAGCTTTCATGGTACTTGCCGGTCCTCCCCAAGTTAAAGTATCTACTCCTTGGCGGGAACCGCTTTGAAGGGCAAATACCACGACAAGTTTGCCAAATGAGAGATTTGCATGTTTTAGATGTTACAAGGAAGTGTCTTTCTGGTGAGATTCTTGACTTCGTTGACAACGTTACTTGTTGTACTTGGACGGATAATTCTCAAGGTTTCAACCTTGAGATTGACTACTTGGATAATATTGAGATCTTCAACAAAGGTGCTCTTCTGACTTATTATCGGTTGCCTCCATATCTTAGGGGAACAGATGTCTCTTCGAATAAACTAACAGGTCAAATTCCAATCCAAATGACCCGATTGGAGATGATTCTTTTCCTAAACATGTCGACCAGCCTTCTCACAGGTCAAACACCTTCGTCATTGGCAAACTTGACAGTTCTACAAAGCCTACATCTTTCACACAACAGTCTCTTCGTTACAATACCTCTGAATTAACTGATCTTTCATTTCTCGCGGCTTTTTGTGTACCCTTCAAAAATCTATCAGGCTTGATACCATTGAACCAACAATTCGAAGCATTTTTCAAATGACAACGCAAAGGTCAGATAATAGGTACGAACTTTGCTCTTTTGGTATGTCTTTACTTTTTGTATCAGCATTTTGTTCACAGGTTTAATGAAAAGGAATCAAACATATGTTATGCAGTTACAGTCACTTTTATCATGCATTTGATCATAGTATTATTCATTCTACGATGTGAATTCAAATTATGCTATGGATGAAACAATGCTGTACAAGTTTCATGCCAGTTGCCAAGTAAATCTTGACTGACTGCAGCTAATATTGTTTGTTAACTACAAAAATGCTGATTAAAAAAGTTCCTTCTAATCCATTTGCCTCAAAAACAATCGACAAAAATGGTTTCGATGACAGTTTATTGTTGGCCAGGAAGTGTTTAACTAGCTGAAGTGCCTGCCTTGGTTTAAAACTTGGAACTTCAAGACCAGCTCCTCTAATGGTAACGAACGTTAGCCCATCGTACTCGATCGTCTGCCCACCGACCTGTGACGTTTAAAAGAAAGCAAATCGAAAACAAGAATTTAATCCGATTCATTTACGTGGTTACTTTTAGAAGATGACAACTAACCTGTTTGTTGTCGGTGTACCATGGTGTCCAGTCTTCATTTATCTTTAATCCAAGCTTTTTGTGGGTTAATCTAGTTGCAGTAACTGGAATTCAACCATCAGTATCTCCACTGTAAATATGGAAAGAAGAAAATGATGAATAAAAGTAATTTTTTTTTACAATATTGTTGGTAAAAAGTTCACCTGTACACACAAAAAAATAACACTAAAATTTTATGTAGTTGTCCTACGGTTGTCAATTGAAGTTAATTTTATAATACCTGCAATGAGTCCATGGATAGGACATATTGGTAACTTTGGCATGGAGTGCTTTTTGAACATCAGGTCTGTTGAAATAGCTCTCTGTGTAGTATGGTGCACACGGGTTGTATCCTGCTGATCTCCTGTGCCATGCATCCTGTGGGAACCTCATTCGGTATGAATCGGGAGACATATCAGAAGCAATTATTAATCGGAATTCAATTCGAATCTTTTGAACTTACGAATTTGGGCAGTATCCTAGGAGCGATGCCTTGAATCACACGGCGTTGTCTGCTACTACCACTGCTGGAGTTGGTAACATAATTGGGAGTACATGTCGATGATTTTGTAGACATCAAAGTAAGCATTGAGGGCTCTGTTGCAACCTACAGATGCCGTTTACTTGCGGAAGTCGCATTTGGTTTTGATATTTCTGTAGACTCGACAGGAGATCACTGCATGATCCCATGCATACTCTACCATACCATTTTAATCCGTTTCATCGTCCAACAACGCATTCCTAATCTACATTGATACGTACCCTTATTCAACACTCATCCGAGCTAATGACAGAAAAGAATGTTACTGCAATTAGACCCTTACCATAAATCCCTTGAGATTAATGTAAGCTGACTTGGGAACGTGCTCATTGATGTCGAAAATGAGCTGGCTAGCTGAGGAACATAGTGCCCTGAAACTCGCACACAATGGGAACCGAACTGAAGAATCAAAGAATCAAAACTGGAAAAAGAAAAGAGAAACATTTTCATTCGTACCATCATGGCTTTCTCCAGAAATGTAGAAATCATAGGACTTGAACCGAGGGAATCTTTTGAACCAGTTGACGAGAAACGCATAGGAATCCTTGGCTAAATCATTCAAGAAAGCGGGGAATAATCAGAAAACGAAATTTATGTTTAGAAATATTCTTTGCATTAAAAGGTGTTTTTTTACCTAAAATTTCATCGCCAAGTTCATCGATATCTCTGCTGGTGTTGGTATAAGAGAACCCAACACCAACTGGAGATTCAACAAACAATAAGTTGGCAGCTGGTTGAGAGGAAAAAACATAAATTAGTACCAAAACCCAACAATAACATGAAACAACACTTAAATTACTTGGTCAATGAATGAAATAAAACATACATGCATACCTTTGTTCCAGCTATGGGGGTTGAGCTTCAGCGTTTGTTGATCTTTCTTAGGGAAGAAAGGCCCCAGTTCTTCTGCTTCTCCATGACCAATTGATGAACAGCCAGGACCTGCAATTTTAGTTAACTTAAACCTCGGTAAAAATGAACTGATTGTGGAAAGATGAAAGGAGTACAACCATGCATATTTTTCGAATTATTAACTATTGTATTTAATGTTATATAAAAAAAAACTATTGTGTTTAATGTAAATGCATTACCATAAATAGTAACTATGTAATAAAAATAATATGATATGCATACGCATGAGATTTTCTTTATAGAAAAATAGCAAAAGATAACCAAAAATGAGAGAGATTTCACATATATCATATGGTAATGGTGTAAGTGAAGTTATGGGGTAGGCATGGCCGAGTCCGTAGAGACTTGAAAACGAGAGGTGACAAATCAGAAATATAAAAAAAAAAAAAAATCAAGCCATCCCTTATGATAATTTATTTTTCTCACTAATCATCAAATTATGTCGAACTACAGGTACTAAATCGTGAGTTTGAGTATTGTAGAGTGACCAAAATCAGAATTTAACCATTAATAAAAGACAAAAGAAAGTGAAATTTCATGGGAGTTAAAGAGTTTACTAATAGTATGACCTTCATTGAGCCAGAGTAGGAGAGGATGACTATGGGGTTTGGTGGTAACTTCGAAAAACCAACCGAACAGTGCCCTTCCATGTTTCTCATTCACCATAATATACCAAGCATACTGGTTGAAACCCACCGGAGGCTGACCCGGAAGCCCGACGACCGGTCGGCTTCTTATCGACCCGAAACATCACCGCCTCTCACCCTCAGCCCATCGCCGTCATGCCAAAATCCATCAGTGCTCACACTTACTCTAGCTACAGCCTTGCTTACACTAAACAAAAGCAAAAGCAAAGTGAAAGAAAGAGGTGAGTTAATGGAAGTCATTGTTGCTGGTTTTCCCACACATTATTGTGATTGCGCTTGGTGTTAATATATATAGAGATACTGCAAACGCATAAACGAGTCATAAGTAACGATCAGTCAAAGATTTTTAAGGAATAATCTTACTTTGATTTTTTGTTTCCTGTTTTGAGGGGGTGAAGTGTATAAGCCGTAACCGAATATTTGTTGCTTAAGACGGAAATATTGGAGGGTTTTGGAAAATGTCTAAATGGATGCCATGTCCAGTTTTGGTTTGAAACTCAAAGTAATATGGTACTAAAATATGTCCCTATTACTAACTGGGTTATCGATTAAGTAAGGTCTCAAGTTTGAGTTCTTATATATGTAAAAAAATCTTTACTGAGAGACTCACTCATCAAAATCAATTGTGCGACAGATTAATCACTGCGAAACTTTAAAACTAGAGGGAAAAAATGTCAGGCTTTGTTTTGAAAGATTCTACGCAAACTCAATTAATATGTCCTTAATATTCCAAAAACTAGTGTTTATTGTAATCTCCTAATTCATATGTTCAAAGTATTATGATTAGAAGATGCATATTTTATTCAAATATAATAGATTTTGACTTGATTTGATATTATGTTTTTTTTAAATAACACTAGTTGAGTCGAATTTTATGAAAGATGTTATAAAATTAAATTTGAATTTAGGATAAAAAGAACTTATTTGGAAATAATAATATAATTAATTTATATAATTAAAGATAATTGTTATGAATATTTCTCTATACTTTTTAATTAAGTTTTTATTTTATTCGATATAAATGAGACTAAGTGTGTATCTAGGGATGGATCGACAGGATGCTAAGGATGCGGTCACACCTCTTAGAAATTTTAATTTTTTTTTTATATTTTAGATATTTTATTTGTATTTTACATGAATTATTTAATTCATGTCCCCTGAGATTTTATAATCTGACACCCCTAAAGTTTCAATATAATTTTTTATGTCCACACCCTTGATACAAATTCATTTGCATCTATATGTATCCAGTTTTTATCTTAAAATTAATATAAGTAAAAATTTTCTTAAACCCTAATATAAATTCATGCCCGTCTAATTAAGTGACCTAAAAAATTTAATAACCCTACATAACCGAATAAAACCACAACCAAACCAACTTAATTAAACTCATTAACCAGCGATGTGTATACTATAAAATATAGTAGTGAATTTGATAGATTAACTCAATTTCAACCGAGTTTTGCTCACACTTGTCAGTTGTCACAATAACAACACATGCCCACATCTAAGTGAATTATTACAACGCATTTTAAGTACTCTTTCGTCCAAACATTCAAATCTCATGTAAAAAAAAAAATCCATGGCCTACATCGAGATAATAAATGGGACTACATGAAAAATTATCAAAGCCTCTACACTGACTGGATTTTCATTTTTCCCTTGCATTGTCCGACATTTTTCAATACCTCATCACCCTGAATTTAACTCCATCTCCGTCGATCCTCCTCTTCATCGACAGGAGTATACCACGACGGTCTTCGCTTCGAGTTACTTAACCTGTAGTTCAACAGCACTTCTTCATCACAAAGTGATGTAGTAGCCACCAAAACAAGAGTCCTCAAAACAGGACCATTCGACTCGCTATTGTGTGAACCCCATTTGAACCAGAAGTTACCAAATCTCCTCATGCTTGCTTCTTCGGCATTTGCGAATGATATGTTCGGAATGTAAGTCCTCATGTCTTTTTCGGTCAGCGGGAAGTCGTAAGGGCAGACCATCACATTCGGCACCATTTCTTTAGCAGGGTGATTGGCGAAATGGGCAAAAGCTAAAGGGTTTCTACGTTCCAATGCTTCACCACCACTCCACACTCGTGAGCTCTCCAAAGGCTTACTAAGCATTTTCCAAAACCGGTCCGAGCCTTTATCCATCACATTCGTGTTGGGACTTGTATCTAGTGTCTTTGAGCCATCCCATAATTCTCGTGTTTCATCTCCATAACCCCAAGGTTGGGCATTGATGACAGTTCCATCATATCTTGTTATCAGATATGTGTTTTGTGCATCAACTCTCGGGTATCCAGGAATGTATCGATAATAAGCTGGAGAATATATAACACCGGGGTATATGGCAATTACAGAACCGACATTAGCTTCACCATTCAGAAATAAACCTTGTCCGGCTTCACTGTGGGGGATCTGAGACGGTTTGACATCAAGAGTGTAGCCAATGGAGTCCTTCAACTTCTGCGAGAGTTCAGCATGTTTTAATGGCCGTGTCTTTGGAACAGCTGCACTGAAAAACCTTCAATAGTTAGAACTGCAAAGGATATTATCCGTGACAGGGCCTTCCTTTAATATCTACTATTATTAGTACGAAGCGGGAACTAGAGGGAAAAGGCATATAGATCAAAGTTACATAACAGATCAAAAGATTAAAATTCCCTATGCCATTTATCTCAGCTATTACTGGTACCAAATAGAAACTAGAGCCAAAGCATGCATATGATCTAACTCAAACAACAGATCAAAAGGTCTGTATTAGAAATACTTGTTGCTATTCATTTTTTGTACAGATACACGAAGCGGTAAAAAACTTCAGTTAAAACATTTTTTTATTTCGTATCAACATACACACTAGCAATTATCTCGTCATAATAGTTATAAGAAGATTGAAATTCAACATATTTATTTTGCACCTATCACAATTTTGTTGAACAAGACAAGCAAAAAAAAAATAAAAATTTATTCATTATAACAGAGGGGAAATATTGGTTCATCGATGAGCGTCGCCCCCCCCCTCCTATATCATACCTCAGTGAAGCTCGTCTAGGTAAAAAATGGCATAGCGACTCAGTGAAGGTCTAAAAATAATTATCATTTTAAGTTTCAAAGCCAAAACATCACGTTATAGTTGCAATTTAGAGCAAAGCAAACTACTATTCCGACGTGAAATGTTCAATTTCCTTGCGAAAAAGCTTTGGGAATACAAATTTAGAGATGCCAAACATCCGATAGATGATATATAAAACGCAATCCTTGATGATACAACGAACAACAAAAACTAGAAGTATACTCACCGGGATGGTTAGGAGTCGGGGAATTCTTTCCAACAGCCAAACTAAGACCACTTCGGGAAGGAGTAACTTTTGATTGCGATTCTTGGGGCGGCTCATTGACATCATTAAGAATTTCATCCATGGAAGTGCAAAACCTTTTAATTTGGTAATGAATATTTTCTTGCACTTGCTTCTGTTGGTCATCAAAAGAGGCTTTAGTAGCCATGTCAATGATCTGATCTGCATCAGCCTCATCCGCATTATTTCCCAAACTATTGTAACTGAACATTGCACAAGCAACAATTTCAGGCAATCAAAATACAGAACCAAAAAACAATGATAATGAATGAGAGAAAAGGGTACGGGTATTGAAGATAAACCAACCTTGTATACATGAAAAGGCGATTGATGTCAGCTTCAAATTGGAGTCTCCTTGGGTCTCTAGAAAAACTGGGGCTTCGTGCAAAAGTTCTCACTGCCTGTAATATCAATAGGAAACTAAAACATTTTTTCAATTCATAAAATGGAATCAGCTAAACTCCAAATATGATTCATTATTACCTAGTTTCACAAATGAACTGACATAAATCCGATGTTTCTGTTACTTTATTTCCTAAATTGAAGAAGAATGAAACATGATGGAGAGATAAAGGGTACTTACGTTTTGGAATTTGTTGAAAAAAGAAGCCATTGAGGAAGCAGCTGCCAACAAAATTCGCACTAAAAGTATGAGACACTAAGCTTTGCTCGGCTGGGGGTACCCTGTTTTACTATTAGAGATGGGGGAGGAAAGTCGAGAAGGGGAAATCCTTTTTACGGGTTTTGGGACCATTAGGTTCGGTTTGGATTGGATTCAGTTTAATTGGGCTTGAATGGAAAAATTGGGTTTAATTTTGGTTCCTATTCCATGTTTTTTTTCAGGCTTCAGCTATACTAATAAAATATATATATATTATTATGTATATATTTTTATTAAAATATATATTAAAATTTTATATTTTTATAAAATATATAGGTAAATTATTATAAATATATATTTAAAATTTTGTAATATATTGAGGATATTTTTATTATAAATATATATTAATTTTGTATATATTAAAGGTATATAGGATCCATACGGATATTTTTCGGGGATCCCCACGGTTATTCACACGGGTACGATTCGGTTATCTCCACGGCTCAGATATAGCAATCCCCGTCCCCATACCCATTTGAGCTTCGGAGATAAAACTTCTCCCATCTCCATCCCCGTGGATGAAGATTTCGATTATTTCACATTCCTACCGATTCGAATCTCTACAGTTTTTTTATTTTTTTTCCCACCCAATTGCCACCCTAGGAGAGGGCTCCCCAAAATAGTCATGTGAGCAATAAGAAATCTAATGATTTCTTAGGAAAATGGAAGGCCCCTCCAAAAGTTGACAAATGCCAAAATAAGTTGAATGTTGGAAAAACCCAACTTAATGGCGTAACCCTGCATGAAAAATAAATAATGTGAACAGTGCTGCCTTGCATGGCATAGGATTTACGAGCATAGGGACTAGGGACCCGGTTGTTGGCTGTGACGAAGTGACGGGAAAAGCTTCCCCTAGCGAGGCCACGAACTCCATGGGCCACAAAACTTTGAAACCTCCGCACAGAATCTTGTACGCTTCGGATATGGACAATGGTTTTCCTAAACAGTCCCAAATGGAGGAGATTTCATCGGGTGAATTAGATTTATATAATATTGCTAATGCTTCGTCAAGTAAGCAGATTCCACTTGAGTCCACCCAAACTTCTTGTCAATAAATATTCACATTTGGAATTATAGAGGTGCTGGTAGCAAGGACTTCTTGTATATTTGTATATTAACGTGAAGGATATTATTTGTGATACAAGACCTAGTATTTCTGCTTTGGGGGAACCGAGAATCTGTGGTTTCTCTGCTCAACGTGTCGCTAAGAAACTTCTCTTCCCTAAGGTTCTGTCGGCTTTTCAGGGGTATATGGATTGCTTGGGACGACCATTCTGTCTCGCTTGATATTGTTCAGTCATCCTCAAAAGTTGTTCACCGTGTTGTTGATTATGAGAACGCTGATTCTTTTTTGCTATCTATTATTTATGCTAGCCCAATTTTGGATATCCGTAAAAGATTTTGGTCTAATCTTGAAGATTTCACAAGTTCTAATACTCTTCCTTGGGTAATCACCAGTGACTTCAATGATGTGCTATTTCCTTCGAAAAATATAAGGCGAGGCTATCTTATATGTAGAGATATCATCTGTTTCAAGAGATAATCCTCCATTATAATCTGATGGATATAGGTTTCCAAGGCCCACTCTTCACTTGGTGGAATATGAGGAAAAGACCTGCTAAAATTCAAGCGCGCCTTGATAGAGTTTTGGTCAATCTCAGTTGGCTTATTCTCTTTCTGAAGCGCTCATTTTTCACCTCCCTCGACTTCATTGGGATCATTGTCCTTCATCCTCCGTAAAATGTGGTATGCCCCTTCCGATTCCAAGCTATGTGGTTCGAGAAAGATGGATTTCGTGACTTGGTCTGCAATACTTGGAGCTCTTTGAATGATGGGTTTGTTGAGAATACAAAGGCTTTGGCGATGTCCCTTTCCCAATGGAGTCGTGATTATTTTGGTAATATCAATAAACGTCTGCGTGCGAGAATTTTTGGTTTACAAAATATCCCTGCTTCTCAACGCTCACAGCAGATTGATTTGTTAGAAGAAAAGCTAATCATGGAATATAATAACTTGCTCAAACAGGAGATTTTTTAGACCCAGAAGTCTAGAACTCAACGGTTTCAGCAAGGGGATCGTAACTCTCCCTTCTTTCACCATTCTGCTATCTCTCGCAGACGGAAAAATAAAATTGCAATGATGAATGATACTAATAGTGAATGAGTCAGTGACCATTCCTCTTTAAAACATTTGGTTGTTGAATACTTTCGTAACCTTTTTGACTCTGATAATAATCCTCGGGTGCCTCTATTGAATTTGTATTACCCGATACTGAGCTTAGAGGCTTGTAGTTCGATGGCAATTGATGTTATAGATGCTGAAATCCATCGAACTTTATTTTTGATGAAACCATAGAAGGCTCCAAGTAATGACGGCTTCGAAGTGAAAATAAAGCAAAGGGTGTAAGTAAAGAGAGGAAGAAACAGAGAGTATATTGTTGTCGTCGTCGTTTGTGTTCTTGTGAAAGAAAGAGATAGAGAGACCGTGAAACTATTAGATTGCCATTCAAACTGGAAATAAATGAAATAACGTTTGCAAGCAGAAATGAGGAATAAAAGTCAAATTCGAAAATTAGCCAAAGGATAGAAAAACAAAAGTCAGATCTCATGAAATGGTCATTACAAAAGCCAAAATAAGTGATATATTCGGATTTGATATTCGGATATCCAAGAATTCAGATAGAATACAGATCTCAATATTAATGATTTGAATTTTCGGATATCCGAAATTGTCTAATCACCCTTTTATATTTCCCTTATACAAATCGCTTACTTAAATTGGGAAGAAAGAAAGGGAAAGCTTGACATTTTGTATCACTGTTTGCACCTTTAACTTAGGCCTTAGGGTTTAATACTTGAAAGAATCAACAACAACAATAACAACAACAACAAAACCATATAATGGGATTAGGGGGAGGTAAGGTAGTAGGCTGTCCCCAACGCCAAGTTGAGAGCAACTTCCGTGGAAGACCTCCGACAGTCAGAAAAATTTAAAAAAAAGATAAAATACAATGCATGTATAAATAAATAAATACATAGTTGGACAGTCTTCATATGCACGTCTGTAATGGGAAGTTATCCCTGCAAATAAATCCCTGCATACAAATCTCTGAATATAGAAAAAAAAACGTGAGTCCCGAAATAAATTTAAAAGACGAAACATGATAAGGATATACAGAAGTCAGTTGTTGCAAGCTACGATAAAAGAAAAATGTCAAATGGGTTAAAACCTAAACTAATGCAACACTACTCCGCTATCCTAGTTTTAATCCTTCAAAAATTCCCATGACAGAAACATATTAAAAGTAGAAGTCAAGGAAATTACTATAAAGGCATTAAAAAGAAGACAGAGATGCTACACCCTATGACTGTGACCCACACTACTCTGCTACCCTGGTTTTAAGTCTTCATACTTTCCTATCAGAGGTCATGTCCTCGGTAAGGGCTAAATCCTCCAAATCAGATCTCAAGCAGTCTACCCACTTCCTCCTTGGTCGTCCTCTCCTTCTGGCACCGTCGACTATAATCGACTCTACCCTCCTGACCGCATCTGACTGTTGTCTCCTAAGGACATGCCCAAACCACCGTAGTCTTCCCTCCCTCAATTTTTCGGATACAAGCATCACCCCCAAGGACATCCTATTTGCAGAGTTTGAAGTCATTTCCCACAGAATCTTACCACATGTCTATCGAAACATTCTCATTTCTACGGCCTCCATCCTCCTTATGCACCTATGCACATCCATCTAACGTGTGCATTGCATTGTTTGTATACCTACCTACAACATGACAAGTTTAGTCATCTACTTTTGATAATATTATCACAGATTTAGTCATCAATATTTATATATTCGTTCATTTGATTTTATTTTGAAAAAAAATGAATTTAATTCTTAATATTTATATATTTTATTAATTTGATTTTGACTATAAAAAATATATAAAAATATAAAATGTATATGTTTAAAAAATAAAATATCAATATATATACACACATAAGACAAGTTTAAATTCAAAATTTTTTAAGTTGGAGTTTGAATTAGATAATAGTGTTAAAATTTTAGGTTGAAGCTTGAATACGAATAAGAACATTTTATAAATACTATGTAATAGAAATAGATTTAACCGCCAATTATGAAATTGATTTTATAATGGAGTTTGGATTAAATGATTATTATTGTATTAAAATAAAGAGAAGTGAATATCTTCAAAACTTTTTGAAGTTTAATATTTTTACATATTATTTTTTAAAATTTGTAAATATCTATATACATTTTTGTTTTCATATAATTTTCCATAATCTTAATTAGATTGACAAAATATATAAATATTAGGGGATTAATTTATTATTTTTTAGGATCAAGATCAAATAAAAGAATGTGTAAATATTAAGGGTTAAATATATAAATATACCAATAAAAATGGACAAAAAAGGAAATATCATCATCTACTGTTTTGTATTATGCTTGGGTTGTTGCCAAGTAATGATACCCATCCACCCTTGTATGAGGTTGACCATGTATCTATTCTGAAATTTAAATTTTCTTTGGATAATTAACACTTTATTGATTACAATCACTTTAAAATTTTATTTGTATTCGGTTCGTACAAAAAATTATATTACTAATATGTGTGTGAGTATTCTCAAAAATGTTTCTGGACCGCTTGGTGATCTTATCCGATTGTCAATGCCACATAAATCATTTATTCTAAATCTACGATCAAAGGAAAGACTTAAAGATAGTATGAGGATGTGGTGTGTAATCAACCCAAAAGGAAAACATGCGAGTGTAGTTCAACCAAGGTTATCGGACAGCAACCCAAAACTGGAACTCTATTTAGCAACCCAAAGCAAAAGCACTTATAAAGACACAAACATTTAGCTCACCAAATCAAACCAATTGGGCCAAAACATCCACAGCGAGAAACACATGCCTTAATAACACACTAAATCCCATGCAAAATTAGACATCCTCCTATCATC